ACAACAAACGAAAATCTTGAGTATAAGCCAGTCATCCCAGCCTCGCTTCGATTAAGCATTTTGAAGGAAGTTGCACGAAAAAAAAACAGCGGGCCACCTAGGGGTCAGAAAGACTTTAAAAAGGGTACGCGAGGCGGTATATTTCCCGCAATTATACAAAATAGTAACGGCGTATGTCAGGTCCTGCAATCAATGTCAGTTAATAAATGATATTAATTACAGCCCGGCCGGGTACTTAAATAGCATTCGCGCTACATTTCCGAATGAAATTTTAGGCATAGATCTTCTTGGTCCCTTCCCCCAGAGCGAGTTAAATAAAAATCGTTTTCTTTTAGTAATAGTAGATCATTTTTCAAAATGGACAGAAATTGTTCCACTTAAACGCGCGTCAGCCAAAACAGTCGCAGATGCATTCTTACACAGATACATTTTAAAATACGGTGCACCGATAAAAGTCATTAGCGATAACGGAAAACAATTCATTAGTCAAATATTTGAAAACATATGCAATGGACTTGGCATACGCCATATCAAAATGGTTCCGTATAGACCACAGGCTAACATAGCAGAAAGAGTTAATAAAAACATTAGTAAAAATAATTCGCAGTTACGTTGAGCACACATCACAAGCGCTGGGATGGCTACATAAATGAATTAGCTTATGCTTTAAGAACGGCAACATCATGATACTACGGGAAAAACTCCAGCAGAATTATTTTTAGGCAGAAAGTTAATTACGCCTTTAGATAAATTATTCTTTGTGCAAACAAAGAGAGCAGGAGTTTAAACAAAAAAGATGTGCAAAAGTTGATTGATCAGGCGCTTAAAAGCTCGGATACGGCAAGAAATAGGCAGAAAATATATTATGATAGAAAACGCCGTGAAGCAGATTTTAAAGTTGGGGATAAAGTATTGAAGCGGAAATTTTCTTTATCAAGTGCCCCAGACAATTTTATGGCAAAGCTAGCTCCAAAGTTTGAAGGCCCCTATGTAATTCAGGAAATCAAAGGAGTAGTATTATATCTTAAGAACGAGAGAGGGGAAATCTGTAAAGCAAGTCCCGACCAGGTGAAAAAATACTATAATCTAAATGATTTTGAAATCCTTAAAAGTTTCTTGCAGGACTCAAGTCTAAACGAAAGTAGAAGGTCCAGAGACAACAACAACTATTCCACCACCCAAGAAACAGAGAACTGAAGAGAGACCTAGCCCTTCTACAACCCGGACGTCGGTATCAAAAAGAAAAAATAATTTTCAAACTCCAGCGTTTAAGAAAAACAAAATACAGATGCACCGGGTAAAGAAACCGTGGTAAAGAGAAAAACACCACCTACAAAGGATCGCAGGAGAAATTACACATCAAGGAGAACGCGCACACGGCCACAGAGTCAGGTGCCAGCAAGGCCGCCGTTCCGGAAACTGAAACGCCAACAGGAGGCACAAAAATACGAGGAACAGAAGAAATTCAAGAAGGACTCCAGACCGGAGGACGTCAAGACCAGCCGTCCCAGGAAAAACGGAAAGGCCAACAACCAGACGATTACTCCCTCCAAGAGGCCAAGAGGCCAGCATGTAGAGGACGCAAAAGAAAAAGCAACGTGGACGACACTCGGAGGATCAATAAGGAGAAGATTGACATCCATGAAACCTCTAACTTGGGATCAATTTTGCCAAAAACGGAATGACGGAGTTTCAAGCATCGAAAACTCAAAGATAAGTTAAAACCTTCTATAAATTTTTTTTTTCTCTTTTGTTCCGAAATGTTATGCATAAGTACGAAGTTCTATGTTTTGACGAAAGTCAATATGTCTCGGTTGAGACTTAGTTTTGTTTTACTTTATTTAGCTAAGGCAAAAGTATTATTTTCTTTAAGTGTAAAAGCTAAAAACAAGCATTTTCTGTTGGTCGAAAGACTAATTCTGTTATGTTAAAGCCAAAATTTGGCCGAAGATAAAAATAACTTCGTATTCTTGTATTAATAAGAATTTTAGTTTCAGTGCCGCCAGCTTGGCGAAGAATGAGTAAAGTAAAAATTTATTTTCTCTTATTCATTTTATGGTAAATTGTAAAAATCATATGTATTAAAATTTTGTAAATGTACGTAAATACTTGAATGTTATGTAAAAGTAGAATTTAGTCTAGAAGCATAAAATTGTAGATGCTAAAAGTGAATGCTTAAAAGCAATGAAGTCAAAATTTAAGTAAGTATTAAACTGTAGATAAAGTCATGCTTTAGAGCGAAAGCCTGCATGTTTAAAGATGAATGAGGGGGAAGTTAGAATGAATGTGTTTTGTAGGGTTCTCCACCTACATTTGAATTTTTAAGAATATTAAAGTAGCTCATTGAGTTGTAGAATGTCGAGTAAGGTGTGTCTATTTGGTCGTTGAATTCTAACAAATCATGGTGGTTAGGGGAAGTGTTGTAAGACTAAAACACGAATATTCCCGTTTGACACCACACACGGTGGAGAGCCAGGGTAAAGTTAAATTAATGCTTGAAAAATTGAATGAATGTGAAGTAAGCAATAACTAAGAAAAACGAATCGTTTAAAAACAAAAATTTATTGTGTCAAGAAAGTGTAAATTATAATGTATGTAGAAAGATACTGATACTTATTCCTTCCAGATGCTGGAAGGAAAGACCAAGATTGATTGATGAAGTCCAGGAAAAGTTGCTGTAAGAAGAGAGCTTTATAACATCAACAGAATTGTAGTATACAATTTGTTACATAAGATTTTTTTTTGTGTAAACGAGGTTCTCGCCAGTTAGTTCAGAATTAGAGAAACTTACAACAGGTCGTTTGTAGGACCTGCTTCCAAGTTTTCCAAATTCTGGCAGCGGCAAATGTAGGGTTTATATTTATTTTAACTAACATTTATTTTAAGTTTAAACTATCTTTCCTGTCAAGCCTTACTTTCCCCTGGAACTGCCAATGCCAGAATATGTAAATTTTGAGTAGAACGCGCAAGGATTCAAATTATCAGCGGAAGTATTCTGATTTAAATAGAAGGAAACGAGTTCGGTGAGAGTGATATTCTTACTTCACGAGCGCGGAGGTAGTTAGCGAGAAATTGAAGAACCCCGCGTTTCGGCCTATGTGCTTGGCGGGAAGTAGAGAAGTGTTAATCGTTCAAGTGAGCTTCAAGTCTGCTGAATTAGCAGCGGTATTGTAAAACGCGGTGAGGTTAGTTATTTTAGAGAGCCTCGTAGTTAGAATCTTGTCTTTAGTTTCTTTTCAGGTTATTATTTTTATTTGACTGCCGAGTTGGCGCAGTTTGTGAGCGTCAAGAGCACGCAATTGTAATTTATTACGTTGAATAAAAAGGGACTTAAACCCTTAAGACTCTGTTTTTACATTTCACAGTCACCTCTTGGTTGCGGGTGGGCGCAACGTAAATCTAAATCCGTTTTAATTTTACTTCAAAATATGTTTTGTTAAGTCTTATAAAAAAAAGCTATCTGGGCACGGCTTGAAAATTTTTTTTTAATTTGATTTTATTTTTATTTATTCAATAATTTATTTTTTACTAATTTTTGATCCCAACAATAGATAAAATCAAAAGAATATACTCGGCGGCGTATTGGTGTATGATACAAGAATGTTGGATTTTCGACCCAAGAACCCCCCTTGAAAAATTACTGTGTACGCTACTGAATTAGACATTTCGTTTTTTAGAACATGGTGCAATTTCGGAGTACTTCTGTCATAAAGCCTAAACATAATTATAAAATATAAAGGATATTTGATAGAGAAGGTTATTTATCTCCTTTAGTAAGAATGCCTATAGGAATTATTTTCCTATGGAAACTAATTAATATTTCACGTTATATTTCGAGAAGACTGTAAAACTACAATTCAATCAAGTGCTAAGACAGGTGACAGGTGACGGAAGACGGGGACGCCTGGTGTTTAACAGTGGTAAACAGGCATATGTCCCACGCCTTCCCCTGTGTAGAAGCAGCAACTTTATTTAAATTAATAAAAGTATTTACAGTGCAACAAGAGCAGATGAGTGATTGTGTTACATTGCAGTTCAGGATACATTAGCATGTCATAAATAGTCAAGTGCAAGACATAAAGAAAAAGTCTTAAATTAAAAAAAAAAAATAAAAAAAAAAACGAAAAAAACACATTAATCACATAAACATAAGGCGTAATTAGATACCAATACTCTTCACTCAATACATAAACTTAAGCATATTGCCAATGCGTGATAGTGTTTTATATTGGGAATACTGAGGTATCTAGAGATACTATACTTACTACAGGGTGTACAGACAGTGAACGAAAGCTTAGTAAAAGCATGATACTTGATAAAATACAGGACAAATTACATGCAATGCATTGATACAATACATGAGACACGGAATACATTGATAAAATACAAGAGACATGAAATACATTGATAAAATACATGAAATGAATGCAGATACATTGTTACATGTGCAAGAGCTAATACTTGAAGGAAGAATGCGCTGAGACACTGATGGACGCTGATAGAACTGAGACACTGAGGGATTGGTGCACTACTGGGCACTGATGGTAAAATACATTTATTGGTGTATTAATGACGAACTGAGAGGCGATTGACGGATTCAGTGAGGAGAGCAGATGATGTCCTGACCCATCGCCCTAGTGATGCTGACAACTTGACAAATTTTGGATATTGCAGGCTTAGTGTATTAATAAATCTATTAAAAACTTCTCTATTGAAGGTTTGGCTGGGGAGATGATGAGCAGTTGTCAACTCACATTCATAGAGGTAGTGATCCGGGGTGCCGTGACCTCCGCAGACGCATTGGTCAGTTAGAGATATTTTGCGTTGGAAGAAGTAGCTGGGAAATGGGCCATGACCTGTTATGAATTGTGTAAGGAGTGCAATGGCGAAGTGCCTTTCTGTGCTGACTTTGGGTATAAAGTCAAAGGTGCGTCTTCCTGTGGTGCTGAGGTTCCACTCTCTCTGCCATAGCTGAAGACACTGTTTTCTTAGAATACTTTTCAGATGTGAGGGTGGTGCTGGAAGGCTGTTTGAATTGGGCGTCTGAGTCTGTGACCGACCGCTTGCTTGGCTAAGCGATCCGCATTCTCATTGCCCTCGTTGTCCGCGTGGGTATTTATCCATTTCAGTAGCAAGTTAATGTGTGCATGCCGTTGTAGAAAATGATGTAGTGAGATAATTAGAAGTGAAGTGTGCTGATGGTTTTGTAGTGCCTGCAGTGTTGAGAAGCTGTTCGTGTGGAGGGTTGCATGCGTGATGTCTTGATGGATGATGTGTTGAGTTGCTGCCGTGATAGCAAGAACCTCAGCCTGGGAAACGCTGTTCTGTAGTTGTAGGCGACCCTTCCATTCTTGTCGACATTGTCCGTCCTGGTAATAGACATAGGCACAACCTACGCCGTCCTCCCGCTTGGACCCATCTGAGTAGAAGTGGGAACCTTGCGTGGGAACTTGGGTTTCATTGGCATTCGAATGACGTGAAAGGTCTATATTGACACCTTTACCTTTGACAGCCGGATGAGTGTGTAAGGGATGGCCAAGAGTTTCATACTGTATGGGGCAATATGTTGTGTTGGAAAGCGAGGCGTCCTTTCGCAAGTGTACTACTTTTGTGGTGACTGCCTCCATTTCCACTATGATGTGTAGTGGAATCAGTCCTGCAAGTACAGTCGCTGAGCTGGTGGCGGTGGTCCGATAGGCACGGGTGAGATTGAGGGCAAATGGTCTTTGTAGGCTTGTTAGCAGCTTGATTTTCCGGACGCTCATTGGCTGGACCCATGTAGCAGAAGCATAAGTAGCTATATTTTCAGCTACAGTATGGTAGAGTAGCTTTTGAATATGGTGACTTTGCCCCCAGTTCTTCCTCTGGAATGTGCGTGCTTTTCTTGCAATAATTGAGGTTTTATTCCTCAGCTCTTGTACATGTGAGAGCCAGGTGAGGCCAGAGTCCCAGGTGAGGCCCAGATACTTCAATGTCTTGACAAATTTAATGTTTTTCCCTTGTAGTTTGGTGCAGGGGCGTCTCGATGGGTTGGTGCCTGCTTTTGGAATAAAGAGGGCTGTGGTTTTTTCTGTAGAGATTTTGAGCTTTAAGGCAGAGCATGCATTGTCAAAGATAGAACATGTAGTAGTGCTGTTACTCTCCAGCTCCTTCCGCGTACGGCCTTTGACCAGCAGAGCAGCGTCATCGGCGTATGCCACAACAGAGGTGTGTTGTGTGGCCAGTCTGACTCCAGAACAGGCATTGAATGTTAAGTTCCAGAGAACCGGTCCGGCACAGGAGCCCCTGAGCGCATCCTCTTTCGTGGCGTTTGATGGTAGTGCCGTTGTCATTGACTGTCAGGAAGCTCCGGTTCTCTAGATAGCTGCAGAAGATGTTGAAGAGATTTGAAGGGCAGAGTGTTTTCCGAAGTGCTTGTTTTATGGCGGCCCACCAGAGTGTATCGAACATACTCTGCAGGTCAATGGAAATAAATGCAGTATGGTAACCTGCTGTGCGGTTAGCTTGTATTATGTCTTTGATGGTGCAGAGGGCATGTGTTGTGGAGAGTCTGGGACGGAATCCGAACTACTTTGGACTGAGGAAGTTAGTTGAATAAAGATGATATGAGAGCCTTTGGACAAGTAGTTTCTCATAGATTTTCCCCATCGTAGATAATAAGCACATGGGGCGATAGGAGAGCGGGTCTTGTGAGCTCTTATTTTTCTTCAAGAAGAGAACCACTTGTCCTTGCTTGAATGCCTGAGGGAAGATCTGAAGGGATAGATGTCTGTTGAAAAAGAGGCGGAAGAAGGAAGGTGTTGCTTTATGGGCTATTTTGATGATTGCGTAATCCAAGCCGTCCGGACCAGGTGCTTTTTTATTGGGTAAGATTCTGAAGATTTGTCGAATTTCTTTGTCCTGGAATGGTACATCATATGGCGTATTAGGGGTGCTAATGTTGTCTCTGATCCGAGGCTGAGCAGGCGTATCTTCTTCAATGTTGTCATCTGGAAAGATGGCGTCCAGAATGTAGATAGCTGTGTGCTCGGCGATGGTGATGTCAGCGGCTGGAGGTGGTGTCTGTATGTGTATCTCAGCCGGGCGGAAGACTTTGCCTGTAATGAGCTTATGAAGTATCCCATATGGGTTAGTGTTGGTCGAACAGAAGTTCCGCCAGCTGTTGATTTTTGCTGCCAGGATATTGTTTTTGTAGATGGCCCTCTCTCTTCGGTAACTCAGCAGGATTCGTTGTTTTTCATTATCATCTGTGGTGCTGCGTATCCGGCGTCTAAGAGCTCTGCACTTTTGCCGCTGTGCGCGGAGTTCTTTTGTCCACCATGTTAATCCTTGAAGTTTTTTGGCTGAGCGGGTGGGTAAGAACCTGATGCATGCTTCTTTTAAGGTTGAAAGCAGGTTGTCTGTATAGATTTCCATTTCTTCTCGAGTGTTAAGGCTATTGATAGTGTCTTCTTCGTTACGAAGGATAGTAGAGAAGCTGGAGGAGAGGCGACGAATTTTGCTGCCTGGGAGTTTGAATCTTACAACGAAACCTCAGAAATATCCCAAGAACAGAGAACCGCACGAACAGTTCAGTTCTCTTACCCTTTCGGCCAATGATGGTAACCTGATGGAAAGACACGTAAGAGCGCCAGCATCCCTCTATCTTTTCAGAGAAACAACAGTTTCAATCTTTCTACTTTATTTACCGTTGAAAGAAGACGCACGATTCTTCCTTCCTTTCCGCAGCTGTTTTTGTAGATTGTAGGTTTACATTCAAACAACTATTAGCCTCGAACTTAAAACTTCAATGTGAGTTTTCTGCCAGCATTCTATGTTTGTAATGGAGTACTAATTACGTCTTTATATGATAACCCCAAAGTGGAGATTGGCTGTTTTGCATCATATGACAAAACTTCACACTAAAGAGGGGCCCTTCCGAAATGCTTCTAATGTGTGATACGATTCTTAAAGGAAAATCACTGAGGGAAGTTTTATTGGAAAAGGGCAAATCCTAGGAAAGCTAGCTATTAGAAGTAAAAATTACAAATAATGAAACAAAATTTAAGGGAGAGAGAAAAGCCTTATTGATAGCGTAAACTATTAATGTAAACTTGAAAGTTATAATGCGAAAGGAAAAAAAATACGTAAATGATTTTCAAATTTTTTACATCCATTAACTACCCATATAAACAAATGAAAATACAAATACGCATTTGTAGGAAATAGCATAAAACATTAGTGTAATAGATAATGACTTTTAATAAATTAGACAAAATTCAACAAAAAGAATACTAATTTTCATAACAAAAATTATGGATACCTAGAAAATCTAACATAGATCAGTTCTCCATGACCACAATGCAAAAAATATACCCAGGAGAATTGCAAATTACCCACGTACTATGAGAAAACTTCCTATTTTGTAAACGGCCCACCAGTGAACGAGAGGTAAAATCGCTGAACGCAGAGAGTTCTATCCGGGTTTGACTGCCGGTAACAGGCTGGCTGCATGGGCATTATTTTCGTGTTTTTCCCGCATGTGTAACGTGCATACGAGCTAGTTTCTTTACAGAGCTCTCCACAAAGGCGTCCCTCTCCTTAGGAAGCCATCATATGCTTTGCCATATTCAAATAAGCCAAAACAAACCAAACCCATTTTTTTAATCAAACATTTACTACTGAAATGAGGGGGAAGCGGGAGCTATATTTATGGTTATTAAACAACATTCATCAGGCATTATCCATTCAAGGGATCTGTTATTCTTTAAGATTTCTAACAGCATTACAGATAGCTGTTTAGAATCCTCGTGTGATACAGATTTCTCCTGAAGAATGACAAGATCGCTTTCCTAAGAAGATAAAGCATACTTTTTGCCAAAAATTAGACTTTTGTTCTTCAGAAATCTCTTAGAACCTTGTCGCTTAGCAAAGTTAATAGTAAATATCAAATTCGGGAAGGATTTTAAAACTGAATGTATGATGTTGTATAAAATAGCTAAAAGATACTTGCCTAAAAAAAGATGTTGGTTCCTGGTGCTTTTGCGAGCTTCAGAGTTTTGACTGGAGATGTTTTTGTTGTGTCCTTATTTTTCTCTATTTCCAGTTCTTACTATGGTTTACGTTAATATATCAAAAGTGGGACGGCTAAACTTTTGGATGGGTGCATTGGATTTAGAGGTTTCTATAATATTAAGAAAGACTGAACAGTCCGTGTATAAAGGCTTGAATGCCAAGTTTCATCTTAAAGGATGAATTCCTTACTAAAAGAAGTATGATTCACAGAAGAATTCTCTTGAATTATAATGAATTGTACGTCAACTAATCGAATTTTTTATGCTCCATTTTTTTATGTAATTAAAATTATTAAGTTGATAGGTACAGGTCCCGTTAATTTCTATATTCATTTATGCTGGTGAAATTTCCTTTTCATTTCTCTGGTTCGCATTTTGTTTCTACAAATCTTAAATTAAGTTTCCAAAATAATCTTTGCTTTATACATATATTAAGTGTAATATGTTTCTGAAATTTATTTATAAATAAAACGACATATTCTTGCGCTCCATGGATGATATTCCTTTCAAATGAAGTTTACTTACAAGCAATATATGAATATTAGCATTTAAAGAAATGGAAATTCTACGGATTTGTTCCGATATGCAAAACATTATATTATGCATCAAAATATTTCCATCTATTTTCTGCTACTCTTTTAAGCATTTGAATGGAAGATCGCATAAATTATAATTTGTATTTTTAATTTTTACTCAAAATACATGAATACAATTTAAGTATTCCTAGTTGATCTTTCTTAAATTGGTTAAATTTAATAAATGTTATCTTTGTAGGGCATGAATTTTGCAGTTATATGCTTTTTTCATTTCTTGTATGGCCCCAGTTCCTGATTTTTACTAATTTAGAGAACCGCTTCTTTTTTCTTTCATATCTGCAATAAATATGAATTCTATAGCCAGATATAAATACCTTCTTGAATTTATTTACATTTTTTAATCGAAATTTTTCTGAAACAATGCAAATGTTTTGAACATATTTCGATTCGCAAAATACACATATAAGAGAAGATTAAAACGTTTCTTACACTGGTCTTCCTCGATATTAAATGTGACAACCATGTCCAAAATTTGGTGAGGGTTTATGTATACTAACATGTCTGAACTTCTAGCTGGACAGCCGTGACATTCAGCATTTTCTCACAGCGAAAGTTCCTAATTCATGTTGTCCTGGCAGGTGAGGAAGACATATGCATGACTACTCAGCAGAGGCTGAATTTGTGAAGAGTCTTAGAGAAATATTTTTCAGTGAGGAGAGACTGATAAAATACGTTGCCATGCATCAGCATTTATCATAAATCCGCTGATATTACAGGTATCAATATTGCGCATCCATTGGAGACAGTGATTACTGACTCTTACATTAACGTTTTGAAACCACTGGCATGAAACTAAGAAAACTTATTAGATCTGCTGAACACCAGTGATCTCGCTTCAGAAAAATTTCTAGATGTACGTTGTTCCTGTGACATTGGAAATGCTGTCAAACCTCTATCTGTCAACTTTAGAATGCTCCACACAGAGCCTAGATATAGTGATTTGTTATTTGTGCTCATGTTTAGTATCGAAAATGTAGTTGTATATCAGAAGTTCGTTTTGAACGAGCCTGGCAAAGCAGTCTGCTTCATGGTTTTGTATCTTTTATAAAGCGTGTTGAAAATACAGTTCAATGAAGAGCATTTGTGTCTGAAAATGAAAAACAAAATGCTGAGCCCGTAGATTCATCCGTTTTATAAGAAAATTGGAATCTAAAGTTTTCAATCAACCTGTGTGATTTGACTGAATTCACACAGGTTGAGTTTACCTTTCAACAACGAATATGGGCATTAAGCCTTTGGTTTCTTCTCTACTGACAGCATACGCGCAACCAGAAAGGTATCGTAGAGTTTCACATCAAGTCGATAGGAGAACTAACTTCCCAGCAGCATCTCATCCCAGAACTCAATCAAGCTTGCTTACGTTAGAGGTCATCTGGGCACATCAGGAAATGAAAGATGTCCTTGCGATGTCAGATGTCCTTGCGAAGCTCACTACTAACAATTCCAACATCGACATAGTGGTCCCCATTTTAGAAGAACCACACGAACAACCTTTTCACATCAGGTCTTCACTATTCTCTTTCAAGAAAGGTGAGATTATTCATTAACTAGGCTTTTTACCCTACAGCATCTTCCCAGAAGTATAAGGAGATTAAATAACGAGATTAAATAACGAGATTAAATACAGATTTCTATCTTTAGCAAGTTTTAACCAGCTACGGACGTTTATCTCCCTACCTCTCT